AAAAATTATAAATTTTCATTTATTAAAAAAAAAATGAAAAAGAAAAAGCAAGAAGATATTATCATAAAGCATAATGTAAAAGCTTGCTACTGTTTAGCAATCTATAAATTATTAAGAAAAAATTTAGAAGGAAAAATAAATGTTAGCAGGATTACCAGCATCCTGCTAGTTATTTCCATTAATTCAATGTCATCTATTAATGCTAAAGTAAAAGGTCTAAAAGCTACTATGTATTTATTTAAAAATAAATAAATAACCTTTTTTTTATGTACTTTCAAAGTTTAAAGGTTAAATAGAGTTATCCCATTTATTTTAGTGTAAAATTTTAGTTGATTTACACTGTTTTTTTTGTTCAAACTATTTATTTATACACGAAAAAAACGTTGTTAACAAAGCGAGCGGTCTGTAAGTTTGACACGTTTGAGCTCATTTTGTCAACGAGTTGTGCTTGACTCGATTCATAAGCTTGATAAGTTGAGGTTTTCATGTAATATTTTAGACTTCCAACACAATTCAGTTCGTCAATGATCGAGCCCAATTTATTACAAACTTGTTAACAAGTTGAGACTGAATTCATTTAGGGGACGGTTGAATATAAATAAAATCATTTTTGATTGACTTTATTGGTTGACTTAATTAATTTTGAATAAAGTCAATTGAGTGATGATTGAGTGAGACTTTAAATTTGTGTGTAAATAATATTTAAAATGTAATAGTTAGTCATTTAGAAGTACGAGAGATCTATTATTAGAAATGATAATTAGTTAAAAATATGTGATTGAATTAATAATAAATTAAAATTGATATGATGTGTGAGTATGATTGATTGATACTGTCTTATTATATTGATTGAAGGATAGTTGAGTTAGATTAAATTTTAGTTGAATTTTGAGTTATGTAGTGTAAAAAAAATATATATATGATCACTCAAAACATATTTTAACTTGTAGCTAATCGCACCCTTATTATCACCTCCGCTCGTTTACAGCTCAATAATCATAATTTTACCTACTCAAACATACAAAACTCTTAGGGGTATTTGTTTATAAAATAATTTAATTCATCAACTCAAATTCACTACCCTTATTATAAATTAATAATTCTTACACATTACATCAATTTTAATTCAGTATTTATTCACTCACTTAATTTAATTAATCATCACTTCGCATTATCTATACCCTACTTTTACATTAAATAAATTTTAATTATTTTATTTTAAATATTTTATACTACATTTTTTTTTTTTTTGTTTTTTTGGTACAAACAAAGAGATTAGGATCAAGCTAAGTTAGGCAAAACATGTGTCTCGGGTACGAGGAACCACTACCATCATGCGCTAGCCATGGGATAACACTGGGCGGGGGATCCGAAAGAACCTGGAGACCGAACGGCGCCGATGTTGCCAGAGACGCCAAAGAATCAGCCGCAAAATTAGCTTCGCGGAGGATATGGGAAGTCTTGACTCGCCATTCACGACTAAGTAATTCGCGTATACTAAGAACCAAACCAGAAGAGACGCCTCTTAAATCTTCCGTGTTGTTCACGAACCCCACGATATTCACATTGTCCACTTCTGCCTCAACCTGTCGAAATCCCATATCCCAAACCATAGTAAGACCGTGGAATAGACCCCATAGCTCCGCGCCCGCAAGAGAGCATATCCCGATATTTCGCATAAATCCTCCCAACCATGTCCCATTAGAGTCCCGAATCAACCCTCCAGTTGAGGCCATACCCGAGGATTTATGATAAGCCCCGTCTGAATTCACGTTCACCCATTCCGTTGGTGGAGCCACCCAATGGATAGGCCGCTGGCTGCGGGATCCCCCGACACATCCAAGCTTCCTATTGCATTTCGCTAGCTGGAGAGCTCCGTACACGAAGGCTCTGATTTCATGGACCTTCTCATCGGCTGCCTTTTCACGATTTTGAAAGATAGCAATATTCCGCCATTGCCATAATTTCCACACCGTCACCCCAAACATACATTCCCAATCACCCTCAACCGGAGGGTCGTAAGAGTTCAACAAATTTGTAGCGAGCCATTCCTCTAAATTAAGATTGAAAAAGGAATGACGTACCGGTGGCGGAATGAGTCGGTCCCATACTTGAACAGCACTCGGACAATCGCGAAGGACATGTAGCAACGACTCATTCATAGATAGACATTTCTGGCAGCTTAGGATTGAGGTTAAGTGTCGCCGCCCACGCTCAACGTTGGTTAGAAGCCGCCCTTGACACACCAGCCAAAGGAAGTGACGGACACGCTGTGGGCCGGGCCATCTCCGCACGGTTTTCCAAAGTCCCCCACTTACTGTATTTTCTAAACGGCTAAGGAACTGGTAAGCCGACTTAGTTGAGAACTGACCATTACCAGAATCAGTCCAGTACGGTTGGTCATCTTCCATTTCAGCTCGAGGGACTGGTATTTCAGCAATTTCAAGGAGAGTGGAAGTAGGAAGCAGGCTGCCAAAGCACTCCCATTTCCACGTGCTGTTATCCTCGCACACGAAGGCGCTGATCGGAAGTTCCAGTAATTCCGGTGGAATCGGCGCAAGTGCAATTCTGCATAAAATCACCGAGCCCGGTAACCAAGAGTCCAACCAAAATTTTGTTGACGTGCCATTACCAACCATCCATTTAGTGCCCGTCGAGACATGGCGCCAGACTTCCCGTGTAGCCTTCAAGACATTCAAAAATCACCCATGGGCCGCCCGTCAAAGCTCGTAACTGGTCCTCATGAGTACTGAAACGATAACATAGTACCCATTCTCAAGATCCATAATAGGGCTGCCATTCAGTTCGACCCTAATATCCTGGTCATTTGAGTCGAGGTCCTCCTCGTCAGGCAGAATTTCCACGTGAGGGCGGTTTTTGTTCAGCATATCTCTGAAGCTCTGTTTCTGAGGCACCGGAAACGGCGGGTTCCCTGTGGGCGTTTGGAGAGGCTGGGACACTTGCGGTTCGGGACTAACCGTCGAGCGCCGTTTTTTGGATGAGCGGTCTGAGATTTTCTGGGCTTGAATCGCCTCCTGCAGCAAAGGGAAGTCCCCAGAGAAAGGAACTGGAGGTTTAGTACGGGAGATTCCTGGCGGGTCTTCCACGGTGTCCGCCATTGAGCTGTCCGGCGGGACGGCAGCCACTGTATCGGCAACCGGGGACGGCAGCCACTGCAACAATACACGACGATCTCGAGAGAATATCAGTCGGAGAAAACCCAACCCTAGGAACGAAAACTAGAATTTTTTTTTTTTTTTTAAATTAACTTGTTAACCAAAACAACTACGGATACATTTGCATCAAATCAAATCACTCACATTATTGAAATATTGGTAAAAAAAAAAATTCGATTTTGCCTGTCAAACACCGCTTTAGCACTCTTTCCAATTTTCTAATCACTTTTCCCCCACTCCTCCTTCAACCTCTCCCCTTTATCTTCCCCACTTTTAGACTCCACAGGAATTCTACTCACCTGTGCACAGCACTCCACAACCCACAATCCATCTCTCTCTCTCTCCCTCTCTCTCTCTCCGCAAGCAATGGCGGTTTCCCCTCTGCCCATCATCGCCGCTCTCCTATTTGCGACCGCGTTTTCCCTAATATCGTCCCAGCCCGCCAATTGCCCCTCACAGACCTTCGCCAACGGGCAGGCCTACACCCTCTGCCTCGGCCTCTCAACCCTCCAATCGTACCTCTACTGGACCTTCGACCGGCCCACCTCCACCCTCAGCATCGCCTTCAACTGCCCGGCCGCCGAGGGCCGGTGGATCTCGTGGGCCGTGAACCCGACCGGCACCGGCATGTCCGGCTCGCAGGCCCTCGTCGCGTTCAGGGAAACCTCCGGCCGGATGACGGTCAACACCTACAACATCACCGGGTACGCGCTGCCGCCGGAGTCAGCGGTGTGGTTCCGCGTGGTGAACTCGTCGGCCGATTTCTCCGGCCAGTACATGAGGCTTTTCGCCACCGTGGTCCTTCCGGCGGCGGCGCCGATGACGCTGAACCATATATGGCAGGCGGGGCCCCTCAGGGGCGGTGCGCCGGCGGCGCACGAGTTCCAGCCGGCGAATCTGAACGCCAGAGGCAGCCTTGATTTGTTGAGGGGCGTGAGCACCGGCTCGACAGGCGGCGGCTCTAGAACTAGAAAGAGAAATGTGAGTTATCTACTTATTTTGAGTTTTTTGATGTATTGAGCTTCAGTGAAAATCGTGTGCCTGTGATACATTACAAACATAGTTTATGATTTGGAAAAATTCCAAAAATAGTTTATGATGATGGGTTTGTGTCATTGTTTTAGCCGATATAGAGATGAATTGAATTGTTAGGTTGAGGAATTCGAAAAGAGATGATCAAAATAGTCACTAAGCTGCTTGGTTCTTGTTTTCCAGATTCATGGTGTGCTAAATGCTGTTAGCTGGGGGATTATGTTTCCAGTCGGTATCATAATCGCTCGTTATCTAAGGGTTTTCCCTTCAGCTGACCCGGCTTGGTTTTATCTGCACATTTCCTGCCAAATTTCTGCTTATGCCATTGGCGTTGCTGGCTGGGGCACTGGTCTTAAACTAGGAAGTGAGTCGAATGGTATTACTTACTCGACCCACCGTAATATCGGGATAACACTCTTTACCCTTGCAACTGTGCAGGTATATCTCTTCATTCTATTGCCTTTTATTTTTCCACTTGATATAGTTAATGAGATGTTTTGAATGTGATTTGTTTGAAGTGTTTTGATAGAAATTAAGAGAACATAGCTTTAAAGTTGTTAGTTTTATCAGCTTTGTGCTAAAAAAGATTTCGAAATATGAATCGGTTTTTGTTTTGTTGAATACGGATAGCTTAGTTTATGATGTAAAAGACTGTATGAGATGAATGCCAAAAAGCTTCAATCTCAGTTGAATAGCCTGAATTCAATCAAGTGTCTTCTGGTATGTCATTTTCGTTTTGTTTCTTTAGTTGATAAATCGAATTAATTTGATATTCCGAATCAAGAATAACCAATGTAGAATGTGTGTTGTTCGAAGTGGTTGGATAGAAATTAAGAGAACATAGCTTTAAAGATGCTGGTTTTATCAGATTTGTGCTCAAAAAGACTTCGAAATATGAAAATCGGTTTTGATTTTGTTAAATACGGATAGCTTAGTTTATGATCTAAAAGACTGTATGAGATGAACCTCAGCTGAATAGCCTGATTTCAATCAATCAAGTGTCTCTGGTATGTCATTTTCGTTCTGTTTCTTTAGTTGATAAATCGAATTAATTAGATATTCCAAATCAAGAGGCAATTTTGTAAGTATATCCCTTGAAATGTAATGTGATGCCAATATTTTGTTTTTTTTTTTGGCTAACGTGTGGTGGTTCTTTTTCGGCATCATGTGTAGATATTTGCCCTGCTATTGAGACCAAACAAGGATCACAAAATCCGAATTTATTGGAATGTCTACCACCATGGGATCGGATATGCGATTCTAATCCTTGGCATCATCAATGTTTTCAAAGGTCTCGGTATCTTACAACCCGAGAACAGGTGGAAGACTGCATACATTGTCGTTATCTCGATTTTGGGAGGTATTGCCGTATTATTGGAGGCTATCACTTGGGGTGTGGTCTTAAGGAGGAAAAAATCCGAGTCGAGCAAACCGTATGATGGATCTAACAATGGAAGGATTTGATTCATCGATTGATTGACTGATCATTGGTAGATTGTTTTTGGAAATCTTTATGGGATGTTAATGTATTGTATTGTATTATCATCGGTTGATTGATAGGATTTGTTATATAGCCTTTCTTTTAGCCATACAAAGTATAGATGTGGACTGGGATTGCTCTCCCTTTGTTGTGTGTGTGTGTGTGGTGTTTTGTGTGTGTGTTTTTT